CTAAGGATGCAGTTAGAAAGAGGAAGGGCCTTGCTAAAGGAGCTAGGACTTAATCTTCTATGCTATGTGAACCCATCAAAGATGCATCTGACTGAAAGGATTATTATTATTATTATCATTATTATTATGTACTGAAGATTGAACTCAGTGGTACTCAACCACTGAGCCACATCCCCAGCCCTATTTTTTTTGTATTTTATTTAGAGTCAGGGTCTCACTGAGTTGCTTAGTGCTTCACCGTTGGTGAGGCTGGCTTTGAACTCGCTATCCTCCTGCCTCAGCCTCCTGAGCTGCTGGGATTACAGGTGTGTGCCACCATGCCAAGCTTGAAAGGAAAATTTTTGATGGAATAACTTATAGGATTTAGTGATGGAACAGATGGGAAAGGTCAAAATAAAAATAGAGTTTGAAAGTAAGTATGGAAACAAAAGTGGGCACTCTTTTTCTTTCAAGGTGTATGTAAAATAGTGTAATTGACTATTTTTTTTCTAGTACTGGGGATGAAAGCCAGGGCCTCACACATATACCACTGAGAAACATCCATAGCCCTTTTATTTTATTTTTATTTTTTAAATTTTTTTTGGTACCAAGGGTTGAATTCAGAGATACTTAACCACTGAGCCACGTCCCCAGCCCCTTTTTAATGTTTTATTTAGAGACAGGATATCTCTCTATGTTGCTTTAGGGCTTCACTAAATTGCTGAGGCTGGTTTAGACTCATGACCCTCTACTCTCAGCCCTTCCAAGCTTCTAGGATTACAGGCATGTGCCACTGCTCCTGGACATAGGCCTTTTTAAAAATATATGTTATTTTTTTTTTTTTTTGTTTGTTTTTTTTTTAATTTTTTATTGTGGGTTGTTCAAAACATTACAAATTTCTTGACATATCATATTCCACACTTTGATTCTAGTGGGTTATGAACTCCCACCTTCACCCCATACACAGATTGCAGATTCACATCAGTTACACATCCATTGATTTACAAATTGCCATACTAGTGTCTGTTGTGCTCCGCTGCCTTTCCCATCATCCACCCTCCCCCCTCCCCACCTCTCCCCTCCCCTCCCCTCCTCTCTCTCTACCCCCTCCACTGTATAACCCTGAGGGTCTCCTTCCATTACCGTGCAATTTACCTTCTCTCTCCCTTTCCCTCCCACCTCTCATCCCTGTTAAATGTTAATCTTCTTCTCCTGTTCTTCGTCCCTACTCTGTTCTTAGTTACTTTCCTTATATCAAAGAAGACATTTGGCATTTGTTTTTTAGGGATTGGCTAGCTTCACTTAGCATAATCTGCTCTAATGCCATCCATTTCCCTGTAAATTCTATGATTTTGTCATTTTTTAATGCAGAGTAATACTCCATTGTGTATAAATGCCACATTTTTTTTATCCATTCGTCTATTGAAGGGCATCTAGGTTGGTTCCACAGTCTTGCTATTGTGAACTGTGCTGCTATGAACATCGATGTAGCAGTGTCCCTGTAGCATGCTCTTTTGAGGTCTTTAGGGAATAGACCAAGAAGGGGAATAGCTGGGTCAAATGGTGGCTCCATTCCCAGCTTTCCAAGAAATCTCCATACTGCTTTCCAAATTGGCTGCACCAATCTGCAGTCCCACCAGCAATGTACAAGTGTACCCTTTTCCCCACATCCTCGCCAGCACTTGTTGTTGTTTGACTTCCTAATGGCTGCCAATCTTACTGGAGTGAGATGGTATCTTAGGGTGGTTTTGATTTGCATTTCTCTGACAGCTAGAGATGTTGAGCATTTTTTCATGTACTTGTTGATTGACTGTATGTCCTCCTCTGTGAAGTGTCTGTTCAGGTCCTTGGCCCATTTGTTGATTGGGTTGTTTGTTCTCTTATTGTCTAATTTTTTGAGTTCTTTGTATACTCTGGATATTAGGGCTCTATCTGAAGTGTGAGGAGTAAAGATTTGTTCCCAGGATGTAGGCTCCCTATTTACCTCTCTTATTGTTTCTTTTGCTGAGAAAAAACTTCTTAGTTTGAGTAAGTCCCATTTGTTGATTCTAGTTATTAACTTTTGTGCTATGGGTGTCCTATTGAGGAATTTGGAGCCCGACCCCACCGACTGTAGATCGTAGCCAACTTTTTCTTCTATCAGACGGCGCGTCTCTGATTTGATATCAAGTTCCTTGATCCATTTTGAATTCACTTTTGTGCATGGCGAGAGAAAGGGATTCAGTTTCATTTTGTTGCATATGGATTTCCAGTTTTCCCAGCACCATTTGTTGAAGATGCTATCCTTCCTCCATTGCATGCTTTTAGCCCCTTTATCAAATATAAGATAGTTGTAGTTTTGTGGATTGGTTTCTGTGTCCTCTATTCTGTACCATTGGTCCACACAGCTGTTTTGGTACCAGTACCATGCTGTTTTTGTTACTATTGCTCTGTAGTATAGTTTGAAGTCTGGTATCGCTATACCGCCTGATTCACACTTCTTGCTTAGCATTGTTTTTGCTATTCTGGGTCTTTTATTTTTCCATATGAATTTCATGATTGCTTTCTCTATTTCTACAAGAAATGCCATTGGGATTTTGATTGGCATTGCATTAAACCTATAGAGAACTTTTGGTAATATTGCCATTTTGATGATGTTAGTTCTGCCTATCCATGAACAGGGTATATTTTTCCATCTTCTAAGATCTTCTTCTATTTCTCTCTTTAGGGTTCTGTAGTTTTCATTGTATAAGTCTTTCACCTCTTTTGTTAGGTTGATTCCCAAGTATTTTATTTTTTTTGAAGATATTTTGAATGGAGTGGTTGTCCTCATTTCCATTTCAGAGGATTTGTCGCTGATATACAGGAATGCCTTTGATTTATGCGTGTTGATTTTAAATCCTGCCACTTTGCTGAATCCATTTATTAGCTCTAATAGTTTCTTTGTAGAGCCTTTTGGGTCTGCTAGATATAGAATCATATCATCTGCAAATAGTGATAATTTAATTTCTTCTTTTCCTATTTTTATGCCTTTAATTTCTTTCGTCTGTCTAATTGCTCTGGCCAGTGTTTCGAGAACTATGTTGAAGAGAAGTGGAGAGAGAGGGCATCCCTGTCTTGTTCCAGATTTTAGAGGGAATGCCTTCAGTTTTTCTCCATTCAGAATAATGCTAGCCTGAGGCTTAGCATAGATTGCTTTTACAATATTGAGGTATGTTCCTGTTATCCCTAGTTTTTCTAGAGTTTTGAACATAAAGGGATGCTGTACTTTGTCAAATGCTTTTTCCGCATCTATCGAGATGATCATATGGTTCTTATTTTTAAGTCTATTGATGTGGTGAATAACATTTATTGATTTCCGTATATTGAACCAGCCTTGCATCCCAGGGATGAATCCTACTTGATCATGGTGTACAATTTTTTTTATATGTTTTTGTATCCGATTCGCCAGAATTTTATTGAGGATTTTTGCACCTGGGTTCATTAGAGATATTGGTCTGTAGTTTTCTTTCTTTGAAGTGTCTTTGTCTGGTTTAGGTATCAGGGTGATGTTGGCCTCATAGAATGAATTTGGAAGTTCTCCCTCCTTTTCTATTTCCTGAAGTAGCTTGAAAAGTATTGGTATTAGTTCTTCTTTAAAGGTTTTGTAAAATTCTGCTGTATACCCATCGGGACCTGGGCTTTTCTTAGTTGGTAGTCTTTTGATGGTTTCTTCTATCTCCTCAATTGATATTGGTCTGTTTAGGTTGTCTATATCCTCCTGACTCAATCTGGGCAGATCATATGACTTAAGAAATTTATCTATGCCTTCACTATCTTCTAATTTATTGGAGTATAAGGATTCAAAATAGTTTTTGATTATCTTTTGTATTTCTGAAGTGTCTGTTGTGATATTGCCTTTTTCATCCCGTATGCTAGTAATTTGAGTTCTCTCTCTTCTTCTCTTCACTAGCATCGGTAAGGGTCTGTCGATTTTGTTTATTTTTTCAAAGAACCAACTTTTAGTTTTGTCAATTTTTTCAATTGTTTCTTTTGTTTCGATTTCATTAATTTCAGCTCTGATTTTAATTATTTCTTGCCTTCTACTTCTTTTGCTGTTGTTTTGCTCTTCTTTTTCAAGGATTTTGAGATGAAGTATGAGATCATTTATTTGTTGGTTTTTTCTTTTTTTAAGGAATGAACTCCAAGCAATGAATTTTCCTCTTAGAACTGCTTTCAATGTGTCCCATAGATTCCGATATGTTGTGTCTGTGTTTTCATTTATCTCTAAGAATTTTTTAATTTCCTCCTTGATGTCTTCTATAACCCATTGATCATTCAGTAACCTATTGTTCATTCTCCAATTGATGTATGCTTTTTCCTTCCTTCTTTTATCGTTGATTTTCAGTTTCATTCCATTATGATCAGATAAGATGCATGGTAATATCTCTACTCCTTTATATTGTCTAAGAGTTGCCCTGTGACATAATATATGATCTATTTTTGAGAAGGATCCATGTGCTGCTGAGAAAAAAGTGTAACTGCTTGATGTTGGGTGGTATACTCTATATATGTCAATTAGGTCTAGGTTATTAATAGTGTTATTGAGTTCTATAGTTTCCTTATTCAACTTTTGTTTGGAAGATCTGTCCAGTGGCGAGAGAGGTGTGTTGAAGTCTCCCATGATTATGGTGTGGTGGTCTATTAGACTCTTGAACTTGAGAAGAGTTTGTTTGACGAACATAGCTGCACCATTGTTTGGGGCATAAATATTTATGATTGTTATGTCTTGTTGGTGTATGGTTCCCTTAAGCAGTATGTAGTGTCCCTCTTTATCTCTTTTGATTAACTTTGGCTTGAAATCTATTTTATTTGATATGAGTATGGACACGCCTGCTTGTTTCCGAAGTCCATATGAGTGATATGATTTTTCCCAACCTTTCACCTTCAGCCTATGTATGTCTTTTCCTATCAAATGCGTCTCCTGTAGGCAGCATATTGTTGGGTCTTGTTTTGTGATCCATTCTACTAGCCTGTGTCTCTTAATTGGTGAGTTTAAGCCATTAACATTCTTCTACAACTGTTAAGATAGTGTCAATAGTATGTAAAATTCCCATAGCCATTACTGTTTTGTCTTCAACTTCTTCATATTCATCACTTTGAAGAACTTTGCCAAATATCTCAGCCAAGTGTTGGGTCATATCAATAGCAATCGAGGCTACCTCTTGACTGTATTCACATATCATCTTCTGGATTACATTAGTAACATCATCATTTTCTGTCTCTCTAACAATGTGCAACAGCTCCTGCATAATAGGCCTCACATGTGGCTTCATATATTCCTTAGCTTGTATCTGATTAGAAATTAATGACTGAAGAGCAAGGGCAGCTTCAACTTTGACAGGCATCTCCTTATCTTCAATCAGGCTCTTCTTTGCTAATTCAACTGCATTTCTGAGGTTGAGTTCATTGTGAAACTTCAAAGAACTAAATGCATGAAGCACCCAACATGATCTAGCTCGAAGATATCCCAGGTTAGACAACAATAAAGGAAATACATGATTCTGTAGGAATAGCTCGATTTGGTCCTTGAATAAACTCTTCTTCAATAAAATCTCAGCTAGGGAACCAATCACATGCAGGGCTCCATCTTTCTTCCTAGGGTCAAAGTTCGGGTCTGTTAGGATTTGATAACAGAATGCCATCATTTTTGGCAACACCTCTTTCCTTTTCTTTGCAGCAGTATATAAGAGAGTCTGGGCTGCTGTGGTAGGAGAAGCATAATCTTCAAAAATATCAAATTTCATCCTTATATACTCATATGGATCTTCTTGCCACAGCTCTTCATCCTCATCTTTATAGCACATCACAGAAAAAATCACATCTTCAGAGATATTCTGTATGTGCGGCTTCATCTGCTTCCAGGTTACAGAATGAACAACCCCTTGGTTGAGATAGTTGAATGCTTGCTGAAGAATACGAGGGGCTACATACTCTTTCTGTCTATATTGATCTAAAATTTTTAGTAGTACCTGCTGAATTCCCACTGCATAGGTTTTCAAGAAGAATTCAGAAAATTCAAAATATTCTTTTGTGACATTTCCTGGGCTTCCATACCGTTCAAAGAGACGAGCTACAATATGCAGAGCCCACTTTTTACACTTCCACCATACTAGTTCTGGTCTATCATCTTCATCAATTTGCAGAGTCTCAGGAGGGACTGTCCTGTCAATAATAGTTCGGAAGATCTCCATCCATGTTGTCATGGTTTGGTTATTCACCAACTGAAGAGGCAATGCATACTGAACAAGAGCATAAAAGATTTTGAGAATCTGTTTTTGTAGTAATACAGAATAATGGGAGGAATCCGGAAGGAGCTGCATGATTTGCTGCTGAATACGTGGCAGAAATATCTGCATTGCTGCTATAAGAGGTTCTCTTTCTTCTGCTTTCTTATATTCATAAGTCTTCACCAGTTGGTAAAGACATAACAAACTGCCAAGCCAGCTTCCACTGTTCTGCGATTGTAAGTAAAAGTTTATCTTGTCTACTACTGCTGGCCAGTGACCAGGAAAATCATGCTTAATGATGACACGGAGACACATTGTTAACTGAATTCTCACTAAATCTGGTGATCGAATTATCCCTTCCACAATGTTATCACGTATTTGTTGGCGGTCATTTTCATGAATATTGAAGGGAAATATTGCTTCTCCTGGTGGAGGTTCTCGATCTGGCCAATACTGGGTCACCATGTTCTTTAGGTAGATGGCAGCTGCCTGGCGTACTGGAAATTCCACATGGTCAGAGACTATAATCCGAAGTAAACTGGGGGCAAAATTGATAATCTTGTAAGACTGGTTGAGCTCGTTCTCTGCTGCAATCCGAAGCTTCGGGTCGATGGTGCCCTTCAGCGCCTGGATGATCCGGTTGAGGTCCATCTCCCCGGGTGGGGGCTCCGCGGCCCCCGAACCAGTAGGCCAGACTGCAGATTTAGTTTTATTTGGACCCTCTCACCTTCCTCCTCCGCGACGCCTAGACTACCTCACTCCCCAACCCCCGCCACGGTCGCCACCTGCAGCCACTTGCTGCGCCACTCTGACTCCGCGCCCCCTGTCCTCCCTCTTTCCCCCCCCACAACTCGCTCTCCATTCACCCTTTTTAATATATGTTATTTTGAAGCAGGGTTTTGGTAAGTTTCCCAGACTGGCCTCTAACTTGTGATCCTCATCCCTCATCCTCCTGAGTAGGTGGGATTATAGAATTGTATCACTATTCCTGGTATAAGGGAACATTTTAAAAGACAGGATGACTGAGTCCTTAACTATGTTTTTTAGATATAAAGTATATTAGGAATGGAGAGGCCAATAATGTAGACTCAGTTTGGGATGGAATAGTCAGGGAAGGCTTTCTGGAAGAGATGAAACATGAATTGGGTCTTAGAGAATAAATGAGTCCTCATAGCTTTTGAGGGTAGGGTGAACAGATGCCTTCCAGAAAGAGGGTAACAGCTTGAGTGAAAATTCCCAGATAGGAATGAGATATGGCAGAGGAACAGTCAGAGATTGATTTAACTGGAGCAATAGTTGACTTTGGAGCAGTGTTTGAAAAGTTGTACTGGGTCAATAGTTTGGGGGCAGCTAATTAGAAAGCTTTGAAAGCCAGGAAGAAGAATTTGTCATGATGGGATAGGCAATGGGCAGCAATATAAAGAAACAATGTGAATAATGTTCTAAGAAAGTTAGCTTCTTTTGATCAACATTGTCTGAGCCCAAGTGTGTCCTTGACATAAAAATCTTGAGATCAGGTCCAGACAACTCCACAACACAGACATTAAGACCAATATCTCAACATTCTATTATAAAAACCTAGGGAAGGGCCTTCCAAAGCTCTCTTATGTAATCATCCTTGTGGTTAAAAAGTTCCTTTATTAAATAGCTATTCAGACCCACCTTTATTTCTTTGGTACTTGGTAGAAAAAGGAGACAACCTGTGGTCAATGCCATCCTTGGAATCATAAGTATAAAACTTTGTTTACTTATTTGTAACTTTGCTTATTAAACATTTACTATACACTGTGCTAAAAACTGTACATACATTAATGTATTAATTTTATTTTATTTTTTAAGAGAGAGAGAGAGAGAGAAAGAGAATGAATTTTAATATCTATTTTTTAGTTTTCGGTGGACACAACATCTTTGTTTGTATGTGGTGCTGAGGATCGAACCCGGGCCGCACACATGCCAGGCGAGCGCGCTACCGCTTGAGCCACATCCCCAGCCCTGTATTAATTTTATTTCTAAACAATCACATGAAATAAGCAAATTTATCCTAGTGAAGGTGTTGAAACACACATTTAGAAATTGCTGCAAGGTTATATAGATAATAAGTGACAGATAGGGTTATTAATCACCCCACTTTGCCCAGAACTGAGGGGTTTACAGGGATATGGATATTTAAGTGCTAAAACTAGGGAAAGCCCTCAGCAAACAGTGAGGAATTGGTCTATCTAATGGCAGACTTTAGATTCTAACCCAGACAGTGAAGATTTGGAGCTGGAGTTCTTAATATATGTGCTCATTTTTCTCAACAAACTTGTAATACACTTTTATCTAATGCATAGAAGATCTTTATCCTGCACTTTCCATTCTCTGCAGAACACCCAGGGAGAGGCAGGAACCCCCCCCCCGCCCCCCAGGTGCTTCTCAGGTGTCAGATTTTTCTCTCTGATCTTCCTTTAGGGACATTTGAAATTTACTGCCAGGCAGGCAGCCACCGAGAAGCAGGGATGAGGGCGATTTACAATGTCTCCCAGTGTCCTGGCCGCCATGTCAGCCCTCGTCAACGCTACCAAGCTGCAAGAATCTACTACATCATGGCAGAAGAAGTGGAGTGGGACTATTGCCCTGACAGGAGTTGGGAACTGGAATGGTATAACAAATCTGAGAAGGAAAGGTAAGGTGTCAGAAAAGGAGAGATCATACTTTCTTAGTTTTTTTTTTTGTTTGTTTGTTTGTTGTTGTTTTGGTTGTAGATGCACACAATACCTTTATTTTATTGATTTATTGTTATGTGGTGCTCAGAATCAAACCCTGTGCCACACACATGATAAACAAGCATTCTATCACTGAGCTACAACCCCAGCCCCCATAATTTATTGAGAAACATTTTTTTTTTTTCAGGTGAGGGTACTAAAGCTGAGAGGAAGAGGCACTTATCCAAGGTTACTAAAACAATAGCAATAGAATTGTGACTAGGGTGTAAAATGCAGGTTTTTTGAATTCCAGCTCAGTGCTTTTTTTAAAAAAAATCTTGGCTTATTATGGAGCTGAAGAGTAAAAGACCTTGCCCACACTCTCCCCCTCTAAGTCTTTGCCTCCATTCTTCTAGTTAGCTGTAAATACTTACTCTGGGACTTGAATTAAATTTTATGGAGAATTTCTTTGAGAAGTAAAATACCTCAAGCTCCTTCATTAAGGTAAAATCTAAGCTGTGTAGCAAAAATGTCTAAAACAGAGCACGGTGGCACAGCCTGTAATCTCAGTGGCCTGGGAGGCTGAGATAGGAGGATTGTGAGTTCAAACCAGCCTCAGCAAAAGTGAGGCAGTAAGCAACTCAGTGATACCATGTCTCCAAGTAAAATACAAAAAGGGACTGTGTATGTGGCTCAGTGGTTGAGTGTCCCTGAATTTAATCCCTGGTACCCCCCCCCCCAAAAAAAAAAAAACCCAGTATTTTATTTCTTGTTTATATAATAGTATTGATATGAGAAGTCCAGGGCTGGTAGGCAAACTGTGTCACCCTCAGTCCTTGTGTTCAACTCTAGGACCAAGGTGTCTCTTCTGCTTATAGACATTCCTAACTATCAAGTCAGGGCAAGTAGCATTGTCTGTAAGTAGATGACCTAGAAGTTGCATACATAATTTTATTTCATGCCCCATTATCTTGAACTTATTCCTATGACCATAATTGTAAGAAAGCCATGTGCTCAGCTAGAACCTAGATGGTTCTATTACTAAAATGGAAGGAGGAGAGACTAGAAACTGAGGTACATATTAGCAATCTCAACCCATTGGTTTTTGTCACTCTTATTGCCCTTTGACAATTCTTGTTCATTATGTTGGTTGTTTAAAATTTAAGTCTTCTTGCTAACCTGCTGTGGGAGTTAGGAAAAGTAAATTTCCTTCTCTGAACCTTGGTTTTCTCATCTATAATTTATAGTTAAAAGAACATGATGAGAAGTGGTGAGAGAAGGGGCAGCAGGCTTGATTCTAAGTCCTAGATTTCTTTCTGGCTGACATTGTCTCTAGATATATCCTGTCACTTCCATACTACTGAGTGCACCTTTGAGACCACCTATTTCATAGGCCTATTTGGAATGTCAAATGATGACATGAATAATAAAGCTATTTATAAACTGGAAAGCATCCCATAAGGAGAAATATGTTAATATTTCATTTCCTTCCTATCTCTTCTCATTCTTTATCATTACCAGCAGCAGTAGCAGTAGTTAATTCTCTCCTGCCACCTTGTACCTTGTCCTTTGTCAAATTAATTCTATCTAAGACATCATTAAGGCTGGAGCTAGAGCCCAGGGCTTCTGATTCTTAGTCCAGTGTTTTTTGCATATTAATTGTACTACAGATTTTTATCTGAATGATGGAAAACAAGGAACATAAATGATTCTGAAGCCTGCCATCTGTAATTTTGGTTATGCAGCCAATGTGGGGAACAATCTGATATTAGAAAGAATAGATCCACATCTTTCATTTGTGATATGAGAATGGTTCTGACATAACTTCCCTATATCTGGCAATGAAGGGTTGAAGGTCAGGTGCTGATAGCTGTCTTTGGATTCCTCTAGTTATGGTCACATTTTCCTGAGCAACAAGGATGGACTTCTGGGTTCCAGATACAAGAAAGCTGTATTCAGGGAATATACTGATGGCACATTCAGGATCCCTCGGCCAAGGTCTGGGTCAGAGGAGCACTTAGGAATTTTGGGTAAGGAAATTGCATTTCCCTCCTAGTGTCTAGAAGCCTGAGCTCTTTCTAGGGGAGCTATTTCATATCAGAAAGATATTCCTATTCTTCATTCTCAATTTTTCTTGGTAATATAAAAAAGTATGATAATATTTTATGATGTAGCCATGAAAACAAGCACTAAAGGTAAAGGGGAAGTATGAACTCTGCAGCAACTAGAACCAAGTTTTTCCAGGTTTTCTACAACTTTGAGGTATAGTGTGTCTCTGAGGGTGGTAGATTTTTAAAGATGCAATGGTGAGGGGAATTTAGGTATATTCAAAATGGAAAAATGGTATAGGGAACAGTTATTCCCACTCATGCCATTTTAATTATCACAGTAGTTTTTCTTATTCCACTTTTTTAGGGTCTAATGGATATCCTCATTCTTATCTTGGAACAGAAGGGGACCCACTGGCCTCTGAAGAGATCCCAGCTATTCAGCATTCTGTGCCTAACTCTAAATCCTTATCATCAACTATTCCATAGAGTTCTGATTATCTAGAGCCTTGAGCTATTATTAGGTAGAGACATGGGGTGGGAAAAATGGGGGTAAATAGAAGCATAATCTTGGCATTGAAGTATCCTTATGCTGTGGGTAGCAGTATCAGTTAAAGGGCTCTTAATTGAAGAATGGAGCCAACCATGACTTAAAGTCTCAGAAGATCCTTGCTCAGGGACTCCCAGATATCTTCCTTTTCTTAACATTTCCTATTCCACTTCCCACTAATGAAAATTTATTTCTTTTGCATGTACTAGGTCCACTTATCAGAGGAGAGGTTGGTGATATCCTGACTGTGGTGTTCAAGAATAATGCCAGCCGCCCTTACTCTATGCATGCTCATGGAATGCTAGAATCTGGTACTGGCTGGCCACGGGCTGCTGAGCCTGGTGAGTGAGAACACTTAGTGAAGGGACAAAGGATATATAACACATATGCTTAAGTGTTTGGGCTTGCTCCTTTAAAAAAATGACACTCTTGCAGGCTGGGGGTATATGTGAGTGGTACAATACTTGCTCAGTATGCATAAGGCTCTGGGTCTAATCCCTAGCACCACATAATCACACACACC